ATAAAACTATATATCCTGCAATTATTGTCAGTTTTTTCTTATGATCCATAGCAATTACCACAGCACTCAAAACCACACAACCCAGGGGCTAGCACTACAGAACTGAAATAGTGAGAGAACGCCGCCTGCTCGTCTATTGAGATTGGTCCGTGATTTGTGTACAGACATATCCGCCCTCGTATCCGCCTGTGTGTAGCTCAAGGCGGATCTGTCCGGCGTACAGATCCGCCGTACATATCCGCATGTGAATGGGGCCCTTTATACTACATACATACATGACGACCAGGTCATGGCTGCATAGATCAAACGTGTTTCTATTGAACAATCCTCGTACATGCATGGGACCGTGCCCATTTGAAGGAGGAAAAAAGCATACAGCGTCTTGGAAAGAGCCCAACTCTGAAGCTTCAAGTAACTAGGGACGCCACTTTCCTGCATACCCAGACAAGAAGTGCTGGGCTTAAACCAGGGGCAGAAATCACCCGAACGTTTATTTGATTGCCGAAAAGCGATACGGTTTGAAGCGTGGACCTAAAATTCACACATCAAATTAAAATTCATGCACCATCGGAATCTGCATCGCCGACGGTGCCAGGATGTTGACCATTCCTGGTGGCCTTCTAAACAAAAACCCTTAAATATCGCGAGTCACCATGCAACACGGTTCCAACGTTGGAGAGGTAGTGCACGGGCTCGCCCACTGGTACTACCATATGTAAGACTGTAACGGGTTGTTACAATTGTAATTTAAAAAAATGCCCGAAAGACATACCACGAAATATTAATATAAGATCTCAAAAAAAAAATTCCAATCGAGTAAGATGCACCAACGGGCTCCCGTTACATATAATAACAATATTGTAACGAAATATAACGGCATATAAAACAACGATGTAGGTACTTCATCTTCGATGTGGATGAGATGAGATTAGCGCCAAATAAATCGCTGCTTATCGGCATAGCTTCGTTTTAAACCGAAAAGGTCAACAATTTTAAATTTATCCGTATTTCCGCAATGCGTAGTTCATGAACTTGATAATCGCGGCCAAGTTGATGTTATTTATACTTATCTACAAAAAAAGTTCGGGAGGATTAACCAAAGTAATCGCATAGATTTTAATGTTACTAATCTTACGACCTTAGAAGATATCAAGCATCAAGTGTTTTGGGTACGCTTCCAAAATATGGAAAGTGTGTAAAGCCTGTTTTAGACGGTCAGATTTCTACATGTAAAGAGCTCTTATCGTGCACTTCTGTATATCTAGACCTGGATCTCGAGCTAGACTAAAACACTCAATCTTTTGTACTTGACTATTAAGTGTTGGGTGTACCGCCTAATTTTAGGTTTTGAAACATTTTGAAGATGGTTTGTAAATCATCTTCAAAATTTGTCAAGTTTGGAATGAAAAAAGAAGTTAAAAAAAATCCTATAATCTGATCGGAAATATCTTCATAAATAAGAAAGTTAGCATTGCGCAGATTGCGCATGCGCACATCTATTTTTTTTACTGTTTGCGGTTTGGTTACATTTATTAGAAGCATATGTAATTAAATTTTTATTGCATTTGTAGGTAGTTAAAAATATTTGTATGAAAATTGACTTTGAAGAGCCTACGCATGCGCATATTAACCAGAAGCATCTGTTAAATATTCCTGTAAATAAAAGTGTCAGAGCTATAAGCTACCGAATAGAAAAATAATGAACTAAATATAAATTAAAAACTACTGGTGAAAGTAAGGCCTCCAACGGACGGATAGTCACAGAGAAAATATGGTAAAAATTTGGTTTAGAGGGGGGGAGGGAGGGGGACGTTTGGAGTTCAATTAAATACTCTTCAATATGTAAGATTGTGAACAATGCTCCAGTTTTTTTGCGGTATCTTTTATGATTAAGAGGGGCCTTAGACTCTACACCCTGTATAATTGAAATATTCTTACATGCACCAACTAATACGAATGGAGGAATATTGAAATTGTCTATTTCTTCTAGTTTTGATTTGATCATCTTCTCTAACATTAGTGAATGAATAATAGTGCACTGTAAAAGGTGATAGGAGGATTGGAAAGCACTCATAAACGAGATAAGATATAAAAAGGGAAGTATGCGATTATGAAAAAGGAAGGCCAGAGATTCTACGGGGAATTATTTCACTAATGACGTGATGCACAAATCCGCACAAATGTATCTAATTTCGTCCATCCGAGGGTTGAGATCTCAGCATCGAGAGACCTCGAAAAAGGCTACAGAATAGTGCATTTTTTCCCAAAAACTGAATACATTTTGAAATTGAACTCGCATCGTAGCCGCCGAGTAGGTGAAAACAAAGAATTTTGCGTAAGGTTGAGAAATGGATCAAAGTACCTATCTTGTAAGATAGGTATTAGAAATTACACGTAGCTGGCACGAGTACGACAGCGTTGTTATTTGTTTGTTTTTCTTTTCGTTTTTTTTTAAATTGTGGCAGAAAGAAATACAAATAGCGAATCGATGATGGGCGTCGAGAACAATAATTAATTCCCTTGCTAGATGAAATGAAATCCGCTTAAATTGAGCAAACGCCTGCATAATTTTCCTGTAAGTGCGCCCTGGCAAGCTCCTACGCATTGTTAAATTTAGATCACTGCTAATTTACACGTGTTCCTCGTGCTCATTCACGATAGATAAGGACATCTCTCAGTAATTACGCGACAACTAAAGTTCATTTGTTAATCTCCGTTCGTATAATTGTCGATTCACTCGTACAGGTGGCTACGACGTTCAACTAGTCTGAGAATAAGAGTCGAAAATTGCTGCCCCCAGTGCAAACGGATGTGGAATACCCGCAGATTTCTGAAGATATCCGCAGAGTTCCGGAGATACATTTATGGATGTCCCCACATTCTAACTATCGAATCTTTTATAGTGGTATTTATCCCCGTTTCCACGTATTCAGAATCCCCCGCGGATTGTAGATACTAATGTGCGGTCAAGTCAAAACGAAGATTTCGGGAAAAATGTAATACAAAACTCGTCAGTATAACCACATTACTTGACTCGAAAATTATTTCCTCGTCCGTTTCTTCGCAAGTAATATTTTACAGGTGGTTGGCATAACTCCGTCCCACTTCCAGGCGCGAATTCGAATTACGCAAAATATAAAATCCACCCTGCGGCAAATTACAGACCGTTGACTTCACTTCGTTCACGGGCCAGCGCGAATTTCGCACAAAAATAAAAACCACCCTACAGCGAGTCGCAGGAAAACAACCAAACTTCGCGCTATCTGTCTCACAGTTCCATCCGAACAACCAACTTCCCACTACTTTTCTTTTTGAGGCACGCCCATCCCTTAGCTTAACCTTTTCCACCAATCAAAACTAATTTTCCGTCCAATCAGAACGCTTGGCATCTATAAATTTTGAGATGAATTTACTCGCTGCGTAATCCGAATTGCTCGCGTTATGTTCCACGACTTACTGGCGCCTCAAGCTTTCAAACGTATTTCAGGACCACTCGCCCTTGTAGAACATTGAAAAAATTGAAGTAAAATTCGAATCAAATAAAGATGACCATGCTCATTTTAACCAAAACTGACTCAACAGCAATTTCATTTATAAAACTTTTAATTGTATTTCTTTTGGGCCACAGAGAAATAAAATTTGTGCTTTTTAATAATTTATAATATCGTAAAGATTTTTGCCTAACCTTTTGGCTTAGAAAAAATGTTTTCATATTTATACAGTTTTAGTCTGTTTGCACAATAGAAAATGCAGCTATTGTGCATATTTTGACTCTTCGTCAGTACGTTCCTCAATCTTACTTTTTACCTCTTGTACAGGATTAGGGTTTTAATATTTAAAAACTAAATAGCTAAATATTTAAATGACCGCCATTTTGAAAAAATGAAGTCCGAGGACTTGTGGTTTGTATTTTTTTGTATCTTGTTCAAATAACATCAGAAAAAAAAACGAAATCGGCAAATTTCGGTTTTTCTAGCATATCTTCGGAAGTTATCGAAATTTTCTGGTTGTTTGATAATAACCGAGATCCCTATGATACACAGTGTACATATTTGCGTTGCGGCACGACCGAGTGAAATTGCACATGTACCGCTTCATGCAGCAATAGGAAAGGGAAATTTTCGAGAGACGCGCAGAGACCCAGAGCAGAAGCGCGTAAGTGTAGATCGATTTAAGATAGCGGGCCGGTATAAACTTCATATACCACGAATACGAGCCTTGGCCTAGGGGAATTCTCAATCAAGACGACTTGTATGGGGATTGATGCTATCTCAGTCTAAGACCAATTGGAAGGTATTGCATTCATCAAACAGAACGTACGCTCTTATTTTTCACGTTGACCACCATAACTCATAAGGCATTTATGAAAACAATGCAATTACTTATCATTTCGGTCCAATTTTTTATGGACTGAAAATAATTTCAATTAAATCGACCATTTTGGTCGCCAGTTAGTCTACAGCATTCGCGCGATCGCTCGACTGGCCAGTCCGCTTTGTTTCAAAAAGACGAAGAAATTACAGGTATACCGTTTGTGCGTATAGTAGCTGGGATAACGATAAAATTGCGCATCTGGCACTCTTGGGTCGTTATCAAGGCAGATGCGAACCTCACTGACGCTGCTGTTCCGGTTAGTCGAAGCGAAATTTGCAGTGTAAACAAAAGATGTTAATCTGCTATTGGTTGAAAGGGGACGCCAATCTGAAAAATTCCGTTGGTTCAATTCTGACCTAGTATAAATAGGAAGCGCACAGCGAGCCAGGGAGTTGTGTAGCGTCCATGGAACTTTTTTTTTAGATTTTCAAATTCTCTGGACTTGTATTTTCTAGTATGAATCGGTAAATTTTCTCCAATTGCCACTTAGATCACAGTGATGGCCAACCGTTGACCGGCATTACACATACCTAACCCCAAACCCAGTTAGTCTAATTTTAGGAATTTGCATCTGCTCTGAGTCAATACCCAAGCATTTCTCTAAAGTTACTTGACTTATGATTTACCTAATGTGAATCCGTATACAACGGAGTATAGAAATTGAGCCCATACTTCAAACGAAACGTCCGAAACAGTCGTCGCCAGGCCACCGGCGAATAAACTGATGTACATCACTCGAACCGTTGAAATTCCGGGGAACGACGTAATAATTCCGCACGAGATCCTTCCAATGGTATTCGCGACGCCCATGGTTGGTACGAACCAAAAGGCGATATCTTTCGATATTCCATTCTGCTCGGATCGGTGTTGGATAAAAGTGTAGGGCGTGTAGTATCCCATCGAGGTCAAAACTGAATTTGCCGTTAGTAGGGCGAAGGAGACGGTTTTTAGTAGTTTAAAATCGAGCATTGTCGCTAGTGTTCGTTTGATCGACTCCGAGCAGAGTACGTAGCGTCTCGATTCGGTTATTTCTCTTTGCGTTACTGCCCGAGTAACTGCCATGCTGTATCTGACTGTGGATCGTTTCTAGAAATGTTCATTAAAAATTTTATTCGGAGATTGAAGTGTAAATCACCTACAGTGTTGGTTGGATTTGGAGTAGGGGTTTCTGGGGCGGTATATTTTTGGTATTCCGGCAGAAACGCTAAAGAGGCACAGTAGAAGATGTCATCTCGATACATAGGTCTCGCAATTGTTTCTAGCGGATTAGCAATTGGTTTCGGCTTACAGAGGCATCGAGTTATTGGATTATTAACAATGCATGTAGGGCAGATCTTTGAGGAGGGCTCTTCGTAGGCAATATTTGTATTACTACCATAGGAAGTACCGCCCACTATCATTTCACTAGTAATTTCTTCATCAAATTTTCCTTTATTCAGAATAGTCACAGTGGAAGTAGTTATGTTGGATGAGTCATCAGGATAAGCATGAATTCGAGAACGAACTTGGTACAGAGTCGGATGCGCCAAGTTGTGAGATCGACCATGCATTCCTTCCTCCAGGATAACCGATAGATTATTATCCTCCGCAATGTCAACACACACTTTTGTTGGTTTTATGGGCTTAAACGTAAATGCGCATACGATACACAGCATACTCATGAACCCTACGATTTGGTACGTGTATCTCCAACCACTTTTCTCTATCATAATCCCGAGTAACATAGGCAGCGCAAATCCACCAACTCCCGCCCCGCACATCGCCATACTTGTCGCCAAAGCTCGCCACTTCTCGAAGTAAAATCCCACCGCAATTACTGCAGTTAGGTACATCATGCCGAATCCGGTCCCCCCTAAGAGACCCGTTGTCAAGTATATAAGTGGGAGAGATGGAGACTCGGCAGTCAAAAAGCACGATATGCTTGCTATTATACTACCCAGTACAGCTATTCGTTTATAACCGAACTTGTTGACGAGCGCTGCAGTAAACGGTCCTACAGAATGTATCGTAACCACAAACGTTATCAAAACTGGTATACCTACCTGTGAAACAGAACATGCTTGATGTAATGGCCCCTATCAGAACTACCTCGCTCTTGAGGCATTGGAAGTATTCCGACATATCGTTTATAAATATTCCGAACGTGTACAATATTCCATCGGATATTAGAAATGAGAAGAACGCCGCCGTTACAACTACCCATCCCCATCCACCGTCGGGTGGGATGACAATATAAACTCCAGATTCGTCACAACAAGGATATTCTTGAATTTGTTCTTCGGCAAGTTGTATAGTAGAGGCCAGTGAGTTATAGCGACCCGTAGCTGTACTTCCGTGTGGACCCATAATTTTGTAAACTGTAAGGACGTGCACTTTTGACATTGACGCATTATAGACGTGTCATCTGTCAGTTTTTCGCATAGGTTTTGGGTCCTTTCTACGTAGGTACATGGTGCTTTGTTGTCGGGTTTAGCATAGAGGCATTCTGTCTGGGGCAGCGACCCCACATTCGATCTCATTGCTCTTCGCTTTTTTGTCATTGTCTCAGTTGAGGTCCACGGGGGGTTTGCACCGGCTTAAATGGAGCGAAGTACGCTCTTTTTTTAAATGGGATCGCTGACCCCGTCCTGTTTTTAAGTAGAATTTTTGTCCCCTGCTCTTTTGGTTTTTTAAAAATAGGATCATTGTCCCCTGCTCCTTTGGTTTTTTTTAAATGGGATCATTGGGATGGGTGGGATTTTCGTTCCCTGCTCTTTTCAATTTTTTTTAAATGGGATCGTTGTCCCCGTCCTTTTAAAAATAGGATCGTTGTCCCCTGTTCTTTTGGTTTTTAAAAAATAGGATCATTGTTCCTTCCTCCTTTGTTTTTTTTAATGAGGATGTATGGGATCTTTTCCCCCTGCTCTTTTGGGTTTTTTAAAATGGGATATTGTCCCCTGTCCTCTTTTAAAATAGGATTATTGGGATGAATGGGATTTTTGTCCCCTGCTCTTTTTGGTTTTTTTTTAAAATACGATCATAGGGATGAGTGGGATCTTTGTCCCCTACTCTTTTGGTTTCATTTTAAAAATACGATCATTGTCCCCTGCTTTGGTTTTTTTTAAATCGGATAATTGGGATGGGTGGGATCTTTGTTCCCTGGTCTTTTGTTTTTATCACATTTTCCTACTCTACGATTCGTGTGCGCATGCGCAAACTGCGCAATGTCATCTTTCTTATTCATAGAGATATTTTTTTGAAATTGGAATCGGAATAGGATCATTGTCTCCGCTCCTTTGGTTCGTAAATGGAATCATTGGGATGGGTAGGATCTTTGCCCCCTGTTTTTTTTAATGGGACCTGCCCTTTATCGTTTTTTTTAAATGGTACCTGCCCTTTATCGTTTTTTTTTTAATGGTACCTACCCTTTATTTTGAAATGGAACCTGCCCTTTTTTGTTATTTTTTTAAAATGGGTCCTGCGCTTTTTTTGTTATTTTTTTCAAATGGGAGGTGCCCTTTTTGATATTTTTTTTATTATTGGGATGGGTGGGATCTTTGTCCCCTGCTCTTTTGTTTTTTTAATGGGATCACTGTCCCCCGCTCTTTTGGTTTTTTAAAAATAGGATCATTCTCCTGCTCTTTTGGTTTTTTTTAAATAGGATAATTGAAATGCGTGGGATCTTTGCCCCCTGCTCTTTTGGATTTTTTAAAATGTGATCGCTGTCCTATGTCATATTTTTAAAATAGGATCTTGGTCCCGTGCTATTTTGTTTTTTTAAAATAGAATCATTGTCCCCTGCTCCTTTGGTTTTTTTAAATATGATAATTGAGATGAGTGGGATCTTTTCCCCTTGCTCTTTTGGTTTTTTAAAATGGAATCTTTGTCCCGTCTTTTTTTTTAAATAGGATCATTGCGATGAGTGGGATCTTCGTCCTTTGATCTTTTGCCACTGACCCCAGCTCTTTTGGTTTTTTTTAAAATAGGGCCATTGTCTCCTGCTCTTGGTTTTTTTTTAAATAGAATTTTTGTCCCCTGCTACTTTGTTTTTTTTCGAAATGAGATATTGGGATGGGTGGGATCTTTGTCCCCTGCTCTTTTGTTTTTTTAATGGGATCACTGTCTCCCGCTCTTTTGGTTTTTTAAAAATAGGATCATTCTCCTGCTCTTTTGGTTTTTTTTAAATAGGATAATTGAAATGCGTGGGATCTTTGCCCCCTGCTCTTTTGGATTTTTTAAAATGTGATCGCTGTCCTATGTCATATTTTTAAAATAGGATCTTGGTCCCGTGCTATTTTGTTTTTTTAAAATAGAATCATTGTCCCCTGCTCCTTTGGTTTTTTTAAATAGGATAATTGAGATGAGTGGGATCTTTGTCCCTTGCTCTTTTGGTTTTTTTAAAATAGGATAATTGAAATGGGTGGGATCTTTGCCCCCTGCTCTTTTGGATTTTTTAAAATGTGATCGCTGTCCTATGTCATATTTTTAAAATAGGATCTTGGTCCCGTGCTATTTTGTTTTTTTAAAATAGAATCATTGTCCCCTGCTCCTTTGGTTTTTTTAAATAGGATAATTGAGATGAGTGGGATCTTTGTCCCTTGCTCTTTTGGTTTTTTTAAAATGGAATCTTTGTCCCGTCTTTTTTTTTAAATAGGATCATTGCGATGAGTGGGATCTTCGTCCTTTGATCTTTTGCCACTGACCCCTGCTCTTTTGGTTTTTTTAAAAATAGGGTCATTGTCTCCTGCTCTTGGTTTTTTTTTAAATAGAATTTTTGTCCCCTGCTACTTTGTTTTTTTTCGAAATGAGATATTGGGATGGGTGGGATCTTTGTCCCCTGCTCTTTTGTTTTTTTAATGGGATCACTGTCTCCCGCTCTTTTGGTTTTTTAAAAATAGGATCATTCTCCTGCTCTTTTGGTTTTTTTTAAATAGGATAATTGAAATGCGTGGGATCTTTGCCCCCTGCTCTTTTGGATTTTTTAAAATGTGATCGCTGTCCTATGTCATATTTTTAAAATACGATCTTGGTCCCGTGCTATTTTGTTTTTTTAAAATAGAATCATTGTCCCCTGCTCCTTTGGTTTTTTTAAATAGGATAATTGAGATGAGTGGGATCTTTTCCCCTTGCTCTTTTGGTTTTTTAAAATGGAATCTTTGTCCCGTCTTTTTTTTTTAAATAGGATCATTGCGATGAGTGGGATCTTCGTCCTTTGATCTTTTGCCACTGACCCCTGCTCTTTTGGTTTTTTTAAAAATAGGGTCATTGTCTCCTGCTCTTGGTTTTTTTTTAAATAGAATTTTTGTCCCCTGCTACTTTGTTTTTTTTCGAAATGAGATATTGGGATGGGTGGGATCTTAGTCACCTGATCTTTTGTTTTTTTTAATGGGATCACTCTGTCTGCTCTTTTGTTTTTATTGAAATGGGATAATTGTGACGGCAGGGATCTTTGTCCTCTGCCCTTTTAGATTTTGTTTAAAATGGGATCATTGTCCCCTGCTCTTTTTTTTTTGAAATAGGATCATTGGGATGTGTGGGATTTTTGTCCTCTGTTCTTTTGGTTTTTTAATGGGATCATTGTTCTCTGCTCTTTTGGTTGTTTAAAATAGTATCATTGTCCCCTGCTTCTTTGGTTTTTTTTAAATGGGATAATTAGGATCTTGAAGTCAATGAAAAAACAGGCGTGGAAGACATACATTCTAACCTGTAAATCTATTTTGGACCCCCAGAGAATTATTAACCTATAATGAAGCGATGGTTACTCGCTCTAGTGGTGTGTCGTAAGGATGAAAGGTAGGAAACTGTGACTTACTACTTTGAGATATTTAAAAGAAATTAGTGGTAATAAGTACAACTTTATTTGTTAGAGTCATCTTGAAGCACTCCAGTCGATTTTCTTCTTTGAAGTATGTATGGTAACCTTGGGGCAGTACGTGCTTGAAGTTTTCGGTTTTGACCGTAATTCGTTCCCCAAACTTTTCACCAATTTCCATACCCTTTACATGTTTGAATTGTTTACAATAGGGCGATGAGTTTAGGGAAGCGACATCAGATTTTTCTTCGATTTTTATAATAAGAAATACAAAATGTTTAAAATTTTCGGGGAGGGGGAGTGTCTGATTGGCTGTGACGTCACGAGCTTGTCTCTGTATTGGTGTGACGTTACCGAGTCCGCTAGAACGTACATTGGTCTTACCAGTTTTAAATTTATCATACAAACAAAAACAACTAGAATTAAATGAATTAAACAATTACCGATTAAATTTACAACAAAGAAACTAACATTAAAATGATAAATCAACAAATTTTTTCCCATTCTGTGTTTATTTGAAAAAAAAATCGAACCAATGCATTTAATTATTTTTGAGAAAATTAACCATTTCTGTCGGAATGTCAAAAAAAGCCCTCAAGCGGTGATATGTGAAACTAACAAAGCTTCAAATATTATAATATTTGTAGCTGAAGAATAGCTTTTTTGAACTAACCTGAGTTTGTTTAAATTGGCTCAGCCGTTTCGAACATACAGGGTGTTCTTTACGGAAACCTTTGAATACCCTCCACCACCTCATTTTTAGGGATACAGTAAAAATTGTCAAACAAAAAATGTTCAGATTATCGTCGACTTCAAAGACTGGACATTTTTTTGTTATGTTAATATAGCGGAATTCACAGAAACATCACTTTTTTCGATTCTAGATTGCAGTTACGCCTCCTAGCGGCCATTTCAGAAACTTAAAAATATTTTTCAGGTTTTTCTCGTGGCCGTTTTAGTAATAAATAACTTTTTTTTACCGCAAGCCTCTATGAGGGATAGGTTCCTAGATACAGTACCTCGCATTCTTAGTTGGCCACCCTGTACACAACAGTATTTAGGCTAGAAATAAATTACAAACCAGATTGTAGAATTATTTGTTAACTTATCGGTAACATTGTCTACGCCATGTGCATTAACCTAAAGTTTAAAATTAATGGGATAAAATGGAACGGTTGGGGGTGCCACCTATTTACAAGAGTAACGTCCATAAACTAAATTATTGCCGCTATGTTTTTCATAGATAACGCTTTGGGGCTACACTACTCTCCCCCCACCCCCCCAATTCCCCCACGGTTTCCATTTAATATTAACGGTGCAATTAATTCTTAACTTAACTTGCCAAATTCAGAGACATCTTGTTTGACGCAGCATTCGATGTTACTTAAATCGGACAAATTGCATCTGGATAAGTTAATTTATTTTACTCCCACACAAAAGAACGAATTACTACACGTAATTTCCCTTCATATTAGCGTACGGCCAGTGCATTCTTTATGAATAGGTACCAATCATATGCCCTTTTGTATTAAAGTCAATGACATTGACTCTTAACAGTTGTTTTGTTACCTTATCTCTGAGAACACTCTCTAACTTCCACACTTTTTGTTTTCAGATCACCCATCTCAATGACAGCCACAAACAGCTAATGGTAGATTGGGTCGGCGAAGGGAGCAACGTGATAATCTGCCTCGCTCGAGATCCGACACCCCAAACATCTCTAAATCCTTCGTGCGTTTATATCTCATACGATTACGGCGATACCTACGAGAATAAAACTCACCTGTTCAAGTTGGAAAATGGAAATTTTTCGACTGTCGAGAAATTCTACAATCACCCCAAGTATAACTCGCATGTAAGACAAATGGGAAAGTAAGTCGAGGAAGCTAACCCCCATTTTTAGTTTGTATTTACGGATGTAAATAACAAGGCGATATTTGTGACGAAGAATCACGGCAAAAATATAACAAGGATCAACGTTAGCTTTACCCCGAATGAGGTCTCCTTTCACGAGTTACGCCCCGATACGTTTTTGGTATTACAAAAATCGGAGCCAAAGCCACAGGTAACTTACAACATTTATCGGACAGTCAGTCAGTTTTTTGTAGTTGTGGATAACTGAAGATTTCGGCAGTAGCTGGCGGTTGTTGGAAGAATATGTCAATTCGTACTTTTGGTTGCAAGATGATAAGACGGGCGAGCAGATACTGGTGATACAGAGAGGAGAAGTAAACGGTCTCAACGAAATTATTTATTCTAGAAATCTGTTCAAATCTGAACAATTACATATTCTCGCCTCTCATGTTAAAGACATTTCCTTCAAGGGAGATTACATTTTCTTTACTAAGAAATCCAGTAAGGTAATGCATTTCATTTCTCGTACTTAAGTAATCGAATGATTCATTAATCAAAATATACAATATCCACATAATTGGTAAACATTTTTTAAGCAATTGATTTTTGTTAATTAGCCATTTGTGTTATCTTCTCGCGCGATAATTTAAAGTATTTATTTTTACAGCCCAGTACTACTAAATAAACGGGGATATGTTCAAGGTCAATTTGTTATTCATATCATTTCCTTTTTATTTAGTGGAAAAAAAGTAATGAAAGGGGATTCGTGCGAGGTAAATTGACATCAAACAAACGTCTTTTTTTTTGGATGGCACCATTACTGACAAGTCAATTTAACCGGAGTTGTAATAGGTATTTCCTCTACTGGGGGGAGATCACTCATTAGTGCTAAATTGTGTACATACAATTTACACTTCGCTTTTCTTTATTAGGTAAACATCGTGAATCATCTGTATCGATATGACCCCTTAGAGGAGACAAGTTGGTAATGGGCTAATGACAAACAATTATCTTATATTAAAACCGTGTGTAGAACGTAATTTAAAGTTTAGAAACCTCTTTTTGTGTAATATTTTTATTTCATTTAATTATTCTTGTACTTTGCTCTAAACATTTCAAGGTTGAAACAATAGGAAATTTTTATGCTTGGTTATCTGCAATGGTGAATTACACACACATTACAGAAATTTGTATACAGAGGATATTGTGGGTTGATTCCTTTAACTGAATAAATTCAGTTTATTTTGAAAAACATTTTAAAGAAATATGAATTTGTGTTGCCTATTTGTCAACATCTAAATTAACTAAGGAGATTTAAAATGTGAAAGTGTTGAACATAAAATGGTGTACAGGGTGGTCAAATTTGGGCGTTAGTATGGGGTAACTCTTAAACTATATAAATTGATTTCGCAATCTTGATCTATTTTTTGATGCTGAAAACCGAACTGACTTACAGTGTTTTGTTTTAAAATTATGAGCAAAATTTCGACATTATCATAAATCGACGCGTTGCGGATTTTCTGGAAGATCTTCCCTTAGTAGAGAGAAATATGTTTCAACAAGATGGTGCACCACCTCATCATTTGACAATAGTTACGGAACTAACAGGTTTTTTAAAAGTTTTATGGCAATTTTTCTATTTTTGTCAAAGACATTCAAGAGGTTTCTTAAGTATATCGGGAAAACAAAACACAAATTAATTAGCGGTGCCTACGGGAAAGCAAGTGCAGGAAAACAAAACCATATCCCCCCTTATAATTAATGGAACAGAAAGTAGCAAAAAGTTTACCTTGCAATTATAAAGAGCGGTAGAAATTTCTGTGCAAGAAAACGCAAAAGCTGTAAATGATCCCCTCTAAACGTCTTTGCCTTTTATAAAATTCGGCTGTTTGATGGAGGGATCGACGATTTTCTCAGCCGCCATAGCGTATTCGGTTATCTACATTCAAACATTTAAAGTCCCATAATTAATTGTGCGGTCTGCTCTCCTTTTGAGACCAGTCAGGACGTAATCGGATGTTGTTTTGCAACTCATTAAATTAGTTACTATTAATTATACTCACGTAAATGTGCCAGATGGAATTTCTAAATCATACTTCTCTCTCTTGGAATTTCTCAGGTCGGCAACAGGTCTCGTATCAAACTGATACCGGCGTAGACCTATACGGCCTTGCAGTTTTAATGCTTGTTTTAAATTAAGAAACCAAAATCATCTAGTAATTAATTAACGGAACTGAAATTCTAAAATATTAATTTGCCGTCGTCTTCTAAATGACGCGAGCTTTCGGACGCAACAAAGATAATTGAAATATCTTGACGGGAGCAGTTGTAAACGTCGAATCAGTTACAACCTTTGTTTATGGGAACGGCGGCAGAAACAACTCTAGAAATTAAATCAATTACCTTTACCTTTTCTCTTCCAACACCTAGAACTAACACAAATACTTTCGGCACGGCATTATTCGTAACGAAGCGCCTGCAGATACAGGGTGGTCATGAAAGTATGTAAACTTTAAGGCGGAAAATAGGTGCTTCGTTACAGTGGCGAATATTGCTGAAATTTCGTCGCGCAATTGTCGCAGAACTACCGTTTTTAGGGGAATTTTTCGAAAGAAAAAAAATTCTCCTTTGTGATGGATTCCGTCTAACTTGAGAACGAAAACAGACAGCGATATCAAACTTCGCCAATCGATTTCTATGAGTTCAGGGATCGGTGCTATTGAATATGAGGCGAATCAAAATACTAATTTCCGAATACGAGTTGAGTGGCAAAAAAATTCGCGTACGCATAACCCGCGATCCGCTCCCAAGAAAGAATGCTTTGAACCAAAATTAACAAAAATTAATTGCAATATTTATTTTGAGTGTTGACGACTGAATATTACAATTATTATACTTTTTTAGGATAATTACGACTTATTTGTCTCTTACAAGTTGGGCGAGCAGCTAAAATGTATCTTCGATTCGGAACTGGATCGTCGAGGTTATCAAGTAGTTGATGTTACGGGGAGTAGAGCTCTAGTTGCAGTTAGTCATACCGATACATTGTCACATTTGTACGTTTCCGAAAATTTAGGTGGCAACGATGACAAAGTACATTTCACTCTGTCACTCGAGGCGGTTTTAGCTTACTTCCCAAACAGTAGCTGGCATGACTCGTGGTTACAGTTGAGTATTGTGAACGTTTTGTCTCGTATTTCCTATGAATATTTTTAGTCATGTATCCGAGGAGGCGTTTACTGATGTGTATAAGGTCCAGGGTATCACTGGTATTTACATCGCATCTCAGGTGTCAGGAAAACTTGTGGATCATAACTTGGGCCCTCAGCATCTTACGTCTTTGATTACTTTTGACCATGGAGGGTCTTGGCGGCCACTTAATCCTCCGGTTCATGATAACGAACGGCAATTAATCTCGTGCTCCTTGGCGAACAACTGCTCTTTGCATCTCAGTCAGCGTTTCAGTCAACTTTATCCGGAAACAAGATCAATAAGCATTCTATCTAGCGGATCCGCTCCTGGCGTTATTATTGCCACTGGAGTTATTGGAAAATCTTTAAAGGTTCGTATTACAAAAAGTGTTAAGGGTACACTAAGTACTGGTAATTCAGGGACATTTTGGCGTTTACATCAGTACGGATGCGGGATTCACGTGGCGTCAGGTTTTGAAAGACTTGTTCTTCTTTAATATGGGAGATCACGGCGGTGTTATAACCGCAGTTAAATACTACAAAAACCTTGCCGAAACGCGCCACATTTTGTATTCGACAGATTTGGGCGAGAAATGGTCTCAAGTTGCTTTTCACGATGAAGACCTTCGCCTGTACGGTTTAATGACGGAACCGGGTGAAAATACAACTGTTTTCACTATGTTTGGATCAAAACCGCACAGTCATCAATGGATTATAATCAAACTTGACATGAGAAGTGTCTTCAGTTACAACTGTTCAAAGGTACTACACCATTACGTGACACATTCTTCATTTTATTTTTCCAGGATGATTATAAGGAGTGGTCGCCAAGTCAGAATGACGGAAGTCGTAACTATGTGCCTTGTGTCCTAGGAAAGCAGGTGACCTATGAACGAAGAATACCTCACGCTAACTGCTATGTCGGACTAAATTATGTTAGACAAATTTCCTACCAGCCTTGTGACTGTGACGCATTGGACTTTGAGTGGTAAGTCACAAAAAATTGCTAAAGTCTATCTACTTTAAAGTTAAAGTGACAAACATTCAATTGCTCTTCGCCAGTTATTTGACACAAGAAAACAGTTAATTTAATATAATGATTACGGCAGAAGTTGTATATATAATATACATAATTTGGAAAAGCGCCATCTTTGATTTGTAATTGTTAATTTTGTAATTTTTTACCCCATAGGTTACGTTTGACATTTCCTTCATATACGCCAGCATTAATGATGGATTTTAGACTTTGTCTGGAAGATGCTTCCTATTCATGCACGCCTACAAATTTTTGCTTTTTTTTACAATAGACTTTTGAGTTTGGATTTTGCAGGTACCATCTTTTCTTCTGCTTCTGCAAAAGTTTCTGGAATAGACGGTGCATATCTTTTTTTTTTATCTACAAAGAGGGTGATTTTTGATAAGCAATCTTCAGTGGCATTTCCATGGCAATCATTGAATTAAGAATAAGCAGCCCACTTGATTAGAAATGAATGCGAGTATAACGTTAATATGATTTTATTTATTTCCTTATTTTTAATTTATGTTGCAGTTACAATAAAAAATACGATAAGAAACGCGTGTATAAGCCACTCCGCTAGCGTTGTGCCTTTATGCGCGTTGCATGTGCTTTTCGATTCGAGGCCTCCCCAATTTTCGTCAGCCGTTAGAATGGTCTTACGGCAGGTTCTATTGTCTGCGACCCCATCGGAAGTGCAGAGAACATCTTCTGCTGTTTTAGCTACCAACCCACAAAGGTGGCATCTACAGGGTGGCGCATATGTCAGTTTCCCCATGAAATAGGATATTATGTTTCGATAGGTGGGTAACATGCCACCCTGTATTATGTACCTTCGGCTATACCTATCATATGTAGATGGTACCGTTGCAGAAAATGAACTATGAAGAGCCCTGTAAGGGTCTGTAGTTCTCCCTTTGTTTTGCTATGAATCGCAGCCCTGGTTGATATTCCGGTGATTCTTAATGCGGTTTTTCATCAAATTGGTCTGGCCCTCTAGGTGTAGTCTGGTAGCTTGTTTTGCCAGCTCATCCACTTTGATGTTGCCTGCATAGTATTAATGCCTTGGCACTCATCATAGTGTAACCCCGTGTGTTGTTTGTCAACTGGTTCTGATTACAGATGCACTCCCAGACACAGATGCATTTGGGAATGGCTGTATCACTGTGTAAAAGCTGTCTTAGCCTTTGTATGTGTTTGTTGGTCTATTTTTGACCACCACACTCGGCATTTGTGGTCTGGTTATTGGCACATATGACATTTGATCATTTTTGACTGTTGTCCCAAATTTCTACCAAGTGTCCTCCTGCCTTTACTATCTTTGTGGACAGTTTGTTGGTGAAGTTTCAATTGATTCTTTAGTCAAGAGTCCTTGCTGAGTATTTTACCTTGTGGTCTCAGTGCTTTAATTGCTAGCTTCCTATGTCTGGTAAACAGTACTGCTAGGTTATGTTTTTTACACTATTTTTTAATAACGTTTAGAGCCTTTTGAAGTTTTTCTAACACTGTTCTCTCTGTTCTCTGGAAATAAACTACGTTAATGGTAGGTAGGTTACTGAGGTTTTTCTTAGTACCAAACTTATCTCATTTGGTAGGGTGCCTTACCGTGCTCTAGGTTCATCTCTAAGGAGCCGTCTTGATCGCTTAATGTGAAGACATATTGTCTTTTTTAGTTGGACGTTTGGAACTACTGCTTCTTTGGTCCTCACTTCTCTTGCTCTTCTTTGAAGAACCACTACTTGGAAGATGAAAGATCAGAGGCTCCTCCAGCCTTCTTTTGCCCGGGCTTATTTTTGGAGGTCTACCGCCTTTTTGCTTGATGGTTATGTTCGTGAACTTATTGGCCTACTCTATTCTATTCATGCCGACCAGGCACACCTAAGGCCTACCCCCTCTTTTCTTCGTAACCAGATTTAGAGCCTGTTCCTCTCAATAAAGGATAGGAACCTGTCTAACCTAAGTTGCTTCACCCTCCCCTGTTCCAGATAACTGTCACCAAGCAGCTGATGTCTGCTCTCTTCAAGGCGTGACAGTGATAGAACACTTGCTTGATAGCTCCTTCTACCTCGCCACAGAACCTACACGTGGACTTTTCCATAAGCCTAATGCTTAGAAGTCATGATGGATGTAGCTTGGATTGGTGGAACGTGAGTCCCCACCGGTCCCCACTCTTTCAGTTTTTTCCCACGAGTCCTGGATAAATAAAAGGCCACCTACGGCAGCGTCCCATAACGTAGGAAAGTAGTATGTAAATTGGAGGTTTCTTGGTGTCCAGAGTTCGCTTATTGGTGACTGCATCTCTTTTTTCTGAAGAGTGTTCTATACATACTTCACAAGATCGTGGTTCTAAGTTCATTGGTATATTCACTCCATTCATTTAAACGTTTTTTAGTAAGAGCGCCGCACCGAGGGTCTCCAACCAAAAGTGTGCCCTCAGCAAGAAGGTTATTGCATATTCGTGTGATCGGGGTATTCCATACCCATATTTTTTTGGGAAAGGAAAATTGTCTCTCTTTTTCCTGAGCAGTGTTCTATACTTCACAGGGTTGTGGTTCTAAGCTAATACTAAACATTTTTGAGTATGAGCGCATTATCGGGGAGGAGTCTGGGGGGGGGGATGGCATAAATTAAATTAAAAAAAGGTAGGTAAGCATTTTTCCCTTTTTTGAGAAGACAAATAATTTTGTATTTTTATTTGATGATCAGAATTCTTTAAACTCTAAACAAAAGAATGTCAAAAAAGGAAGCCATGAAATAATTTTTTTTTAATGCGTACGCCTACGTGATTTTGGTAACGGAAAGTGATATACACAACACATGTATTTTTTACACAAATGTAGATGTTTTTATACCCCTATATTTTATGCAAAAGTAAATACATCATTCTGTTTAATTTTTGGGAAATGCAGGCCTAAATCTATAACGGTAAAGTCACTAGATATAGAAAGTACCGCAATCATCCGCCATTTTTGGGCAAATTTGCTGCCAAATTAAAAAAATTGACAAATAAAATCTGAATAGCTGTAATTTTTTATAACCTAACTTCATAGTACTGTCATGTTTTATAAAAATATATACAGATAACGGGCGATCAAAAATGAGTTGCTGTCGAGTCGCCTTTGGAAGTTCAAGTTAAATACGATTTCCCATGTAAACAAAAGTTCCAAAGGTGACTCGACAGCAACTCATTTTTGATCGCACAGTATCTCCAAACAGGTGGAACAATCCCTAACATTAAAGTTGCTAGAATCTGATAACTTCCGCCATTTTTGAGCAAAAATCGTGCGTTCTCTCTCTAACACACGAGCCCAATGGATTGCGGTACTTTCTATATTTAGTGACTTTATATAATGGTATCAGAAGGCGCCATCTAGCGGCTATGAATGAGCCAAATGCTATAATTGAGATCCAGTACGTGGACTTTTAAAAAACCAATTTTTTGAAAATCCATAAAACAAAGGAGAAGTTTAACTCCTACTCTTAAGGTAGAAAAAATACGTAAGAACTTCTGTTTTCAAACGGTGTTACGTTAGTATCGTTTTTGACATATTCCATTTACAATTTTAAACAGAAATCTGTGTTGTTGTTCCGCCTTCTAGTGATGATAGTATGGAATTAAAAACAATTTCCACCATTTTCTCTTGCCAACATTTATACAGTGCGCCCATTATGTGTGGAATATAGTATATATCTAGGTAAATATTGACTGTGTACAAAGTTTTTCTATATGAAAGTTGTTTAGCATTTTATTTCCCATAATAAAGCAGCATTTCATTGTTTTTATTTCAGAAATCAAATGAATATCGAAAAAGAATTGAATTTTTTTAAATAGCAATTCACACTTTAATTAGGCTCATTTGATAGAAATTTTTTTTTCTTTTCAATGACGTGCCACGTTGGTACCCATGTAGAAAAAAATATTTCAAGCTTTTTGTGATAGGTTATGCCACTGCCTTGCAGTAATGGTGAACATTTTGCACATTCATTGTGATGAAAGCCATTTTACTACTAATTTCGTTTTAGAGTCGTTAAATCCCAAAAAGACAAAACCTTCTCTTTTTGGGATTTAACAACTCTTAATATACACAACCCCATTTTGAGTTTCACCACACCATGGATATCTCCGATTAATTTCGTTTTGTCTTCAAGGTTTAATAAGAAACGTACACGTTCAATTGTTTTATTTTGATGTGTGGATATCTGGTTATTGATCAAATTATAATAATTTTTTTTGAATAAGGGTACTAACATGTTAAATCATTGAAAAAAGAAAAAAAATCATATTAAGTGACTATCAATTGTTTTTCGTTACCCATTTATTTTCTGAAATAAAAACAACTGAATGCTGCCTTATTATGGGAAATACAATGTTAAACAACTTTCATATAGAAAAATGGTGTATATATTCGATATTTACCGAGATATATACGATATTCCATACATAAGGGGCACCCTCTATAATACAAATTTACCTTAAAGCACTATTTTTATGAATTTCTGAGCTATGTGTCATTTTTATTTGGTCACCCAGCATACGATAATTTTAAGAAAAGTATAGAGAAAATTCTAATTCAACTCTGTGCAAGTTTTGTAGATAGAATGACCATAAATGAACTAATGTCGAGCATCTCCACAAGTATTGTATCAAATGTCATCTAACATTGACATGAATATATGAGCGCAAGTTGTCACAGCTGAACTGGTGTAATAGAGTAAATTCCTTAAGGTGGGTTCATAGCTCTCCGTTCATTAGTTTCTGTTTGTCCGTTACCCAATCAGAACGCAGTAAATTTTTAAACCGTACGTCGTCCATTTTCAACGGAAAAGTTGAAGTTGAACATTTACGTTTCCGTTGGTCCGTTTTTTAACAAGAGTAAGGTTATGTTTGTTCTATTGCTGACGGTTAAGAGCAAATTTAACAGTGTTCGCCTATTACGTTCTTCGCGGTGATAATCTGATAGTAGTTTCTATGTACTGAAGATCACGGTGGGTACAGTACAAAATAAAATTGAGGTTATGGTTATACCTTGTAAACGTCCGATTATGGGCGGATGGCTATGAACCTTAACAAATCAACGTAACGGATGAACGGAGAGCTATGAACCCGCCTTTAGACCTTATAGTACATGGACTGCTGACTAAAATATGAAACGTCGTCTGGGTATGTGAGTTTCAGGTCTGTCCGAAATTGTCCGATGAGACACAATTTGAGACTGTCAACCTCTATCCGTGACTACCCATTTTGTATTGAAAGCATAGGGCAAATAGCAGTCCATGTACTATATAGTCCAAGGTAAATTCCCACTCAAAAGTGTCAATCTGACGATAATTGAATGCAGGTCACTATAGGTATAGTTTAATTCTATCATCGATCTAATTTTCTAGCGATTTTGGATTTATGCGTTCGGGAAAACCCTTCCATTGCATTCGTAATAAAACTACCGTCGAAAATCCGTACGAAGTTCCGTCGACCTGTAAACCATTCCAATTTTACAATCGAACAAAAGGCTATCGCAAAATATCAGGTGACAGCTGCGTGGCCGGTTTCGAGCACCAATACCTGCCCGACCTCATTCCTTGCCCGTTCAAAGAAGTGAGGCAGTTTCTTTTATTCGCTTTGCGCGATCGCATCGGGCGTTACGATCTGCTGAATCACAAACTGGAGCACTTGCCCATTCAGAATCTAAAAAATGTGATTGCAATTGATTTCGATATGAAAAACAATTGCGTGTATTGGGCTGACATTGTGACCGACACAATCGGAAGGCAGTGCTTTGGGAATGGTAGCACGCCCGAAATTTTGGTATCCCATGATTTGGCGTCGATTGAGGGGATGGCTTTCGATTGGATTTCACAGCACCTTTACTTTGTTGACGGAATGCGAGCGAAAATAGAGCTGATTAGAACTGATATAAATCATTCAGGTCGTATGCGCAAAACCATTTTAGATTCGCGCAATTTACGTAAACCGCGCGGAATCGCGGTGCATCCGCGGGCTGGGTATTTATTCTGGACGGATTGGGCTTCGGAAACCTCTTCAGTTTCTCGATCCAATTTAGATGGTACCAAAGTTCGAACGCTGTTTGATAAGAAAGTTGTAGAATGGCCAAATGGAATTACGATCGATTACATTGCCGAACGTATTTATTGGGTCGACGCACGTGAAGATTACATTGCCAGTTCGGATTTGAATGGTGAACGGTTTAAGAAAATCATCAAAGATAATGATCTGGTCTCGCATCCGTTTGCTGTAGCCGTGTTTAAAGATAACATGTACTGGGACGATTGGAAGCAAAATTCAGTGTTCAGTGCCGATAAAGATAGCGGAGTTGCTATCGAATTACTGCTGAAACAGTTACAAGGTCTAATGGATTTGAAGGTGTTCGCCCATAGTCTCCAAGAGGGCACGAACGGTTGTTCCAATTCTACATGTAGCCATATTTGTGTCAGCGCTCCCAAGCAAGGCCACGTCTGCTTATGCCCGGATGGTATGGACATGAAGGGCACTACTTGTGTATGCCCAGGCGGAGTGGAACCGTATAGTAACAAGACGTGTCCTAAAATTGCTAGCACCTGTGGTGGGGAACATTTCGCGTGCAGCAACGGCGTTTGCGTTCCAAAGGGATGGCGATGTGATGGGGAGGATGATTGTGGAGATGCATCCGATGAACTTCTTTGTGGACCACAAACTTGTGCCCATAATTACTTCGTGTGCGGTGATGGAAAATGTCTACCGCAATATTGGAGGTTAGTAGAATTTATTACATTTCAGGATACAGGTACTAAAAGGTAAGTGGTTCTACAATGTCAGTTGACATCAAAGGTCTGATTGGATAAAAAATGACTCATTATGTCATTAAATGGGTAGACTAAAATTAATCTAGTGGTTCATATTCGAGCCTATGTCCACTGGATGCAAGTGGAAAGGTTGTGATTTTACCCCCCTAAGAATTATCCCAGGTGGTGGTTTGACTTGATGATGACGCAGACGATTGATTAAGATGAGTTAATCTTGACAACCGGAATCAGTAGTGCGTTGTGTCTTTGTCATTTTATGTCTGGCGGTCTTTCTTTTTTCTTAAGCCGCACCTATTGCTGCTACTTCATTCTCCATTCAGAGCTCCAAGAAACAAAAATTTTGCTACCTTCTTAAGGTGCAACCGTCTGCGCATCTAATTCACGGTGGCCTTTTCAGACCGAATAAGTGAAATATTAGCACTTTGTAAAACGAAGAGCATCCACCCCTTTGATCAATATTGTTGAGAAATCGGCACATAAGTTTATGGTTTAGGCATCATAAATAAAGCAGTATCTATGGATTTAAAGGTATAATTCAGGTAACGTATCGATTTTTATTTTAAACGGATATTTGGCGCTTTATTTGAGCACAATGTTTCCAATTTTGCTTGTGATAAAATCTATCCAAATTAAGTTTTGAATTATCAAGTACATTATTTACTGTATCAAATCACATCACGAGTCGGTAAGGAAAATTACGTCATTTCATTAGTTAGGTTTTAATCTTTAATCGCTTTAAAGGCTCCAATCTAAGCTGAAGTAGCCACCACAGTTTTTTCAGAAGCATCTCCCTGTAGTGACGTTGATCTAAAAAGTTTTTGCTCCCCAGTTCTCTCGTTCTTTATATCCTCACCATTTATTGCTGAGTTGGTGGTATCTTTTTTGAGCTACTGTCTGTCATTTTTCCCACCGACCCTTATGTTGAGGTATCTTATTTATAGAATATAGAGTTTCAATAACGACTCGCCCTTTAGTTGGTCTACACTCAGTCGTTTTCTGCACAATGTTACTTAAAATCGAGTCCGTGAAGTTAGCAGAACATTGAAGGCACAAATGTCGAGACTAGGTGGGTTGGTTAGTGCTTCGTTTGTGCCGGTTTGTGCCGTAAAAAGTTTGCCAGCAAAACGTACCGTTTGGAAATTATTTCGATTTTTAGAGGTTCTGCTAATAGGCCAGTCATTGAGGATTTTTACCTGGAAATAACTTGGGAAGTACAGAAATTTTGTATGCTTGAGTGCGTAGAACTAAAATTCATAAAATGCACAATTCTAAACTTGCCGCCGGGGCCGCTTACTGGACCGATCTTACTGAAATGTTAACATTAGCATCGTTTACTAAAGGCAAATCGATCGATTATTTCAAACATATCAAAAGCTTCTTTCGCGCATGTGCAAAAGTAAATTTCTTATTTGTTGACCAATTTTTGTGAAATTTTAACGGTAAATCAAATTAAACATCCATGTAGTTAATTGCCAAATCGATTAGATACTTCGCTCAATAAAAGGCGAAGCGATGTATGAGAAGTAAATCCAATGAAAGGAAAGTGCTGGGTCTCAACAGATGCTACCGTGCGGAAAAGTCATTTCTAATTCATAGTCTATCATGGAAAGCGTTTATTCTGACCATTCCATGCTATAGTAATTTATTTTAGAGATTTTAGTCCATAAAACAATAATAATGAATTATTTGGATAAAATATACGCCACTGGTTATTAAAAATTTCTGAATTTCTGCGTAAGGGCTAACTTTAGTGAAAATATGCTAACTACATTTTTTGTAGGAAATTTTCGTTTCTTTAATTTTGCTCACCACATATTTTCTCGTAAAATGCGCAGTTTTGGAGATATCGGCGGAAAACCGCTTTTGACGGCCATCTTGGTAAGATGGCGGCAAGTTTAGAATTGTGCATTTTATGAATTTTAGTTCTACGCACTCAAGCATACCAAATTTCTGTACTTCCCGAGTTATTTCCAGGTAAAAATCTTCAATGACTGGCCTCTTAGCAGAACCTCTAAAAATCGAAATAATTTCCAAACCTTATGTTTTGCTGGCAAACTTTTTACGGCACAAACCGGCACAAACGAAGCACTAACCAACCCACCTAGTCTCGACATTTGTGCCTTCAATGTTCTGCTAACTTCACGGACCACTTAAAATCTCTTTGGCCTGGTGTCCCATTGGTCAAATCATCTCCTTATCATACGTCTAAGGTGCGTCTGGTACGAAGCTCACCAAAATGCTTTTAACAAGTCCAAAATTGTGTTCATGCTTTTAACAGAACAGATCTCACGACACCTTTGTCTTTGCAGATGTGATTATGAAAGAGACTGCACAGACGGTTCTGACGAACTAAATTGCCCCAAACAAAACTGCAGCGCCACCCAATTCGCCTGTGGAAACGGTCGTTGCATCTCGGCCCGTTGGAAGTGCGACGGCGAGAACGACTGTCGCGACGGTTCGGATGAAAAAGATTGCGTCGGTCCTGATCCCACCACTTGCAAATGTAAGAGTGGCGAGTAAACGACCTCCACTAACGCGTTTATTTTAGCCGACGAGTTTCACTGTACCGGCGGCGGGGTTAGTTGCATACCCACCACCTGGCGTTGCGATTTAGAAAACGACTGTAAGGACGGCAGTGACGAGTTGAATTGCAGTAACAACACCTGTGCCGAATATCAGTTTGCGTGCGGCGCGCCGACTTACCGGTGCATTTATGCGTCATGGGTGTGCGATGGCGAACAAGATTGTCCCGACGGTATAGACGAGAAAAACTGTACAACAATTGATAAACCACCGATGGCCACTCCCAATCCGTTTTTACCTACAGTAGGTGTTACATTGAGTGGGTAGTTTGTAAGATGATGCTTTTAGAACGGCACTTCGTGTTTGGATTGGATGTTTATGTGTTCTAACCGTAAATGCATACCGTACTGGTGGAAATGTGATTCAGCAGATGATTGTGGTGATAACAGTGACGAAATTGGATGTCTAAATGTAGCCAAAACGACTTTGGCACCAGTTCCTACTACACCACATCCGATTTATCGCACGTGTTCTCACAATGAGTATCAGTGCACATCAGGAGAGTGTATTGAACTGTCATGGGTCTGTGACGGTTCTCGTGATTGTCCTCAAGGCGAAGAGGAAGAGAATTGTGATGGCATACGTCATTGTTCTGGAGATGAGTTTAAATGTCGCATGGATGGCACTTGTGTTCCGGTAATGCTCACTTTGACTCGAGTACCATTTTTTTAAAAATTTCTTGTAGCTTACTGATGTCTGCAATGGACACAAGGATTGCCCTGATGGTACAGATGAGTCAGCTTGTTCAACCGATCACAATGTACCCAGCGGCTCGGCAGGTCCCAGCTGCTCCGTCGGCTACTTTCCGTGTGACGACTTTATGTGCCATCCACTGGCGATGCTTTGCGATAATAAGATCGACTGCCGAGATGGGTTTGACGAAAAAAATTGCTCTTCCGTCACACGAGTTTATCAAGTGCTTCAAATGGGCGTTGACGAGCGAAGTATCAACGAAACAAGTCTATTGCTTTATTGGTGGATTCCTTTGCCGGATAAAGTAAAATTGGAATTCTTACCCAGCATTAGCAAGCAGGGATCCAACAAGTTTGATAATAAAACATGGACAGAGCATACCGAATACAGATTCATGAATTTGGAGCCCTTCACCAAGTATAATATGACCGTGTATGTAAAACTGAAGGACTCAAGTAATGTATTCCCACCTGCTAAGTATTTCATCGCTAACACCGGCGAAGGTAAAATGGCGACTCGTTGACGGTATTACTTAATTAAATTTTTAGGTGTACCTAGTGAACCTTGGAATGTAACGGTGGAGCAGCAAAATGGCTCTCACACTTTAATATCATGGAAGAAACCAATTACACCCAATGGAATAATTCAATATTACGAAATCTGCTGGTTCCCACCTGAACCACCAATCAAATTGAAGCTCAGCGATGACAGCACCGCCCATTTACTTCCCGCCGATTTTCCACCAGATCACAAATATTCATTCTACGTAAGTTAACCTCTTTATTGATCAATCTCCATTGGTTCTGTACAGGTGATCGCACACAACCGAGCGCACGAAAGCAATCACTCAGATATTAAGTCGATCATCTTCGATGGCGATTCTGATCTAAATGCCGTAATAAACCTCTCCGTAGTCTCGAAGACGACGAATAGTATAAGCTTATCGTGGCAATACGAGCGAGCCGTTGACGGATTTACTGTGAAAATTGAAGCGTTACATCCCTACCCTCAGCTACCTTCTAGGACTACCACAGCTAAAAATATCGTCATGGATAATTTGGCGCCAGGCGTTTACTATACTTTTAAGGTAAGTTTAAACACAGACAGCCAATGCTTTACTATGATTCGGCATACGAATCGTCTTATGAAAATATCATACAAACATTTGCTTTTCCATGATCCAGTGAATACAGAATAAAAATCTTCCGTAAGTCTCTCTTATGATATGGTCACTAGAATGGTATTATAGTCTGAGACGGATTGTGTTATTTTTGCCATTTTTATTTCAATTGGGAATCGCAGCACAAAATAAAATGAAGTTCAGAACATAATACAACACTGTTTCTATGGAAACTAATCTAAGAAAGATATTTATACGCTATTCATTTTAAGAAGGTGGCGGTAGAAAGCGTAGGGACAGTTTGCCTTCACTGTGATTGGTTAAAACACGAGTCAGTATTACCCTGAAAAATAAAAGTAACCAATTCTGTCTGTTAGAAGTTTCAATTACGAACTAAACTGTCGAACTGTCATTAGCTGTCAATTTCAAAGATCCTAGCGTGATATCGTTTGATTTATATTTTTCAAATTTTGTGCCGTTTTATATTTTTATTGTGTGTGTCGATCTTCAAACACAGCGCCATCTACTACCTTCTTATTCTTTTTTTTTTTATTCTTATCCCTCTCTTGTTTTTGGGCCCTCAACAGGCATGCGCCCAATTACAGAGTGACCCGCATAATGCTATTTAGAGGTGCCTCTGCAGAAGGTCTTAAGTTGGTCTATACTCCTCCGATATTTACCTCACGAATTAGGAAAACTGCAGGAAAACCTAATTCGGAGTAGCTGGTAGAATGCTCGGAACTGGTCTAAAGTAATTTCCATCTCCGCTACAGACCTCCGGATTTATAACCCAATGCTCTACCACTGAGCCATAAATCCGCCAATAATGCATGCAGTATAGTTCAAGAGGGTTTTTTGAGATTGGGAAGTCCAAAACAGCATGTATATTTCGTGAATTTTGAGTAAATATTCTAAATAGGTTGTTTCATAATCTAAAGCTCAATTTACATTATACTTTTTTCGTCTAGAAGCTTTGATTAGAACTTTTACTATATCCGACACTATACTAGAGATTTAAATTTACCCCTTTTTGGTGCATTGACTTTTTTTGTTTCAATGGCAGTGCTGCCAATTTCGGAAAACAAATCTCAATATTGTACATTGTGAAACAAACATGAATAACAAGCAAAAGAAGTTCATTTTTGCTATGTACATGTTCTTATATTTGAGGTTATGTTCAAGAGTATAATAATAAAGTTGTTGGCAGCACGGAATTTGTTCTAATTTGGTGCTAGTGCGCAAGTCACAAGTATGAAAGTTGAATAGAAAATGGGTGTGGACCGAGTTTCAAACCTAGTTTCTAGATTAGAAACTTGGACGGAATTTTTTGATTTACATTGTCAAAATTTTAACAAGTTCGTCTAGTACAAGTTCCAAGTTTCTAGACGAAAAAAGTATAATGTAAATTGAACTTAAAAAAAAAGCATTTAAGCGAAATTCCAATTTAGAAGTGGCAGCACGCCTAGAAACATCATTTAAAATTGATATATGCTCTTCAATTGTTTCTATATCATCTTAGTAGACTAAAATGCTATTATCCTCAATTTTCCACCAAAGATTTTATGGTCATACTGTTAGAACCATTGAAATAATTCAATGGTTGGAACAATTGAGGGGCATTGGTAAGCCCAAATGGCATTCGTAAAATTCGAATTGCTCAAGTGGTGTTATGAATGACATATACTTAATGGAATTTTCTGGATTCCATTTAGATTTCCGAAGTTAATATTTCAAATCTCGTCATCTTTAACACAAGCGGAATATTTTCTATTTTGATTTGAACACCAGTGAGTTCAATGGTTATTTCCGAATTGGATGATTTAATAAAATCCCCACCTAGCAACATGCCATGAGTCAAATTTTTATCGAGTGCCACACATAAACAAACTTCAAAAGGCAAATCAACATCTTACCTAAGATTTCTATTGGACTTGCATTAACCCCAGCAAGTGATTCAGTGATTGATTCTGAGGAATAACAAATTTGAGAAACAAAAGAGCTTTGAATACGACTTGAATATTAAGAATTCTGGTAATACCATGCTCTTAGGTGAGAGAAAGTAAAGAATGAAATATGCAAAGTTCTGAACTAATAACGTGAGTCGACTGAACAATGGTTAGTAGTTTGACAGGCAATTACTTTGTGGTCCATCGATCAACAATTGAAGCACGATCCCTTTTCAAGCTTGTGCTTCCTACATTCATGAGCGCCATGGTCAGGCTTGTAGCAGGTGAAGCAGCTGAAATTTGATTTACCTTTATGTGGCTCAGTTTTTGTAAAATTGGCAACTCGTACTGGAAATGGAAGCAAAATGTGGAGCAGCCTTAGATTTGACCCCCCCCCCATAAATTTCCATTTGCATTTTAATTCCTTGAGGCTTGTGGCCTCGTACAAGGTCATCTTGTTGAAAGCTGGATCTGGTATTCCATCCACAATGTAATGGATAAGGTCTGTCGCCGCCTTTTCCTTCATACTATTATTATTATTAAGCCAACGATCTATTTGTACTAATTTGAAACATACGCAGTGAGATTTCTTGGTACAAATTGCGTTGAGATCAGGCAGACCCAAATTGTTCCTTCTCTCCAGTCGTAATTACGTCGAATCCCGTAATATTGCGTAAGCGGCCACGATTTCCTCTGGAATTTTCGCCACCATTGGTACTAAACATTTGTTAAATGCTTTTAGGACCTTGGCCTTCTTAATGTTGTCGCCCAAAATGTCACCCAGTGTCTCTATTCAAACTGATACTTCTCGATGCGTAACGTTATAACGTAAATGTTTGGGTAAAATGGCTACCAGCCGGCGCGGCGCGTCAGGAAAATTAAAATTTACATACCTATCTATCGCCAACATGATCTACTTACTTTTGACTTAGGCAAATTACATGCCGAAATGTATTGTCCTATCTTCTTATGGGCTATCCGGCTATATAAGTATGAAGTGCAGTATAGTGATAACACTTAAGACCGGATTTTCGTCTTTTGTCATGGAAACAAAACATAGAGTTTATCTATTAGATAAATTTAATTGACACAAGGGAAATTAGCCCTTAGTTACTGATCAATTTTAAAATTGTGAATTACATTCCATAATTTCACTGTATGTCTCTTCTTTAAGGTAAAGGCATTTAGAAAATCGTTTCAAGGAATTCCCAGCAGCATAGCCGCTCGAACTAGCGGCGACCCATTGCCGGTAATTCATAAATTAGAAGCTCTGGTAGATAAAAGTGTCGGAACCTCTGTAAAACTGACCTGGGAAAGACCGAAGGATAGTCGGAAGGTTGCTTGGGTGTACGGTGTCTACTACGGATTGAATGAGGAGGAAACACTACAAAGTAAATCTTTTGACTAATTAAATCGTGTAAAGCATTTCACTGTAATTTTTTAGAATCTCGTTTAAATACTACCGACACAACAGTAACGGTTACACATTTGGGGGCTTGTGAGACTTACATATTTTCTGTGGGAATCGTCGGACCATCTGGAGTAGGAAATATATCGAGTGATTCTCCCACGGTCATGACGTCGTTAAATAAACGAGCCGCCCCCAAGAGACTTACAGTTACTCAACATCCTTCTGATCACCTTAAGATGCAAGTGTCATGGTCCGCATCGTGCCCTACGTTCGCAGAACCAGTCGGATATATTGTAAGTAACAGCACATATTCTATTTCTATTTAATTCCCGGTGTACTAAAAGCTTCTTCTAATACAAATAACCAATTTCGTAGAAGAAGGATGTGTATCCATTACCCTTAGTTTGTAACATTTTTGATAAATCCTTTCTAAATCTTAATAGGACCAAAACGTAAAGTTTGACACATTAGCATATTTGTACATTTGAAAATGACAAAATTGATTCACGTCACTTTAAAAACATTGGTCTTGTAAGCAAATGTAAAACCTAACCTACAAAATGGTTATAAATGTTTCATGTTTCGTGAATTTTATTAAAAGAAAACCCATCGGTTTCCGTTTCAATTTCATAAAGAATTCGTTCTTAAATTTTTGCAAAATAAGGTGCTTATCGTTATCTATCACCCTAGCTTTACTGTACCTTTCAAAAACTTCACACTTATCAAACTTATTTCAGATTACGATACTAGACAAATTGACCAACGAAGTTGTAAACCATAACAAATTAGAATCGAAGGACATCGAGTTAAGTTCAACCTTTAGGGTCACATACGGCGGAGTTTACGACATTAAAGTTTCTACGTCTATAGTAGGCGCGATTTACACCCATCCCGTTACTTACTACGCTCCACCCATACCGCCGCCTCGCGGATTAAGGGTGTTTTTGGAACGCAACGGCAGTTACATCTTGAACTGGCAGGAAAGGGAAATACCGTCCGAAATCGGCTCGCATAAATATGAGATATTCGTGTCGAAAGGTGACATGTTGAATACGAGTAGCGCCTCAAAGTTTGTGGTACTGAAGCCGCCTTTCTTATTCGAAAATGACGACGCGCCGTCTATGTACACATTTGGTGTGCAAATAGTATCCGAACGCGGTTACCGATCTTTGCTATCCGAGTGGCCCGCCGCGAATTACGCACAGACGCAGTCATCTCTCGAGTTGATTGGTAAAAGTAATATGACCGCGATTTTGGTTCCCGCCTGTATTTTACTAGTAGCGCTAGGGGGCGCACTTGCCTTTTTAATTATTAGAAATCGCAGATTGCAAAATAGTTTCACTCGATTTGCTAATTCGCATTACGATACCAGATCGGGAGCAGCTACATTCGATGATAACGGTTTAGAGGAAGATGAAAGTCCACAAATTAGGGGATTTTCGGATGACGAACCTCTTGTTATAGCGTAATTTTAATTTATTACAGTAACTAACGGTAAATGTTACCTGTTTGTTGCGGCGTTAAAAAAAGATTTTGTAATTAAAAATGTCCAGTTTTAATATATTACTACTATGAGAAGCAGAGTTTCTAAAATTCCTTGCGTGTATGCCAATTTGCTAATAAAACTAGTCGTAGTTTGTTATAATGTTATCTCGTCTGAGAACTTTGTTTCGATTTGATTTATTTTATGATCACTGATTATTGTGCACGTGTGAATTTCTTTGTATATACGTTTCATTTTTTGTTGTAATTAATTTATAGTTCACTATATTTTATTTAGATTTACGTAGTTAGCAAAAAATGTGATGATTCAGGTAAGAGATTTGTTTTAAGGACTGCATTGAGTGAGTATTACTTCTTGCGGGAACGAAAATCCCCGAGATTAGTTTAAGGTTAATAAATGATTAATCCTAAGATTATTTTTATTATTGTCAAAGAATAGTTTTACTTTCGTATAATTATATAATGAGTATTTTTGAATCATCATTCGATAGCACTGATTTGTTTTAAGTCAAATTTCTGTGATAACCACTTCGCACTACAACGGTGTGATTTTACCAATTTAACTTGGAATTTGACTGTATTTATACCATTGTGAATGTGTACCTTATTTCAATATATAATTATATCTTATATGACGTTTTTATTTTACCTATGTTACAACCACTTAAAAAAGTAACGACTTCAATACCTAAAAAACCTCTCGAAAAACACTTACGCAAGGGTGCCTGTCAATTCAGTTGTATGTCAAAATGAATCAGAATTTGACAACATGCTCTCTAAGATTGTGTAATCGCTACAAACTGTGTTGAGTAGAAATGTGTACAAGAGTAAATCAAAAATAAACTACACTTTTACCGTAACACGTTATGGACGTTATTGCAGTAGAATCAGGTAAGATGTGCACACAGTGACTTTGGAAGTACTGCCTTCAATTTGCCCATGCGCCAATATTTGATTGATGCCTATCCATTACCCTTTCCACAGTTTTGGATACGTTAGTATCTGATATTTATATTTAAAAAAAATATTGTAGGCTCGCATTTGATTTCCTTTCTACTCTAATTAAATGAATTGGTGCCTCGGTAAATAGAGGGAGCTGTTTAATTCCTGCTCCCTCCGAGAAAAATTCAACAAGATGGGATTTGTTAGGGAGATGTAGAAGTGCATGAGACACATGTCTAAAAAATTTTTTCTTTGACATACTCTGAGGCAGCTAATCCGGCAATGAAGGCAAGACCAAACTTTGCAGTAGTCAATCGTATTCAATTCTGAAGATGGTCAAGGTCACAGAGGGAATATAAACGAGAAGCGGCAGTGGCTTTAAAGGCTTTCCTGACAAATCCTTTGCTTCTTCCGTTTATTCTTACACATTAGGGCATATCGTCGGCCTCATACGAAAACCTTGTAACTCCAAAAATTTCAATTTTACAGGGCAATAAAAAAACTATTTCTTTTTTTTCAGAGTTAAAAATTGAAAGATGTTAGGTATCAAATATGAAGGTAAAATTACTGTCTATCTTAATATGAATATACACAGGTATTTAAAAAAAAACGATGTAAATGGAGGAGATACGTGGTTTTATTATAAAAAGGCGCCATGGACGGGACTTACAAGGTATTCGATTTTAGGAGTTACGAGGTTTGCAAATATTATGTGCAGGTGATAATGGAGTTACGCAACTTTCATATTTATTTTTATTGAAATCAAAAGGATAAGCAAGAAAACAAAATGGTTAATGAAACAATGTTATCTTTAATTATTATGTTTGTAGAAAACTAATTAGTATTGTAAGGTATATTATCATAAAAATCGCGATAATCCGCC